AGGGGGGTTGCACAACGAGTGGTTGGCCCCTAAAATGTTTTAATGGAATGAGAAATTCGCGTATGTTGTTCTGATCTGCATCTCTTTGTATTTCACATGCTTTATTTTTAAGCCAGTTATTCTTTAGAGTGTGAAGTTCCCGCTGGGCTGCCGCTTTCTTCTTGCGGGAGGTATCAAATTTGGTCTGAGATTGAGGGATGTTTTGCCAATCAGTAAAAGCAGCACGTTTATCTTCGATGAGTACTTTGATTGCCGGGTCATTTTCATCAAACCAGTCCTGTTGTATTCTTCTGATCTGGCCGAGGTTCTCTGTATGTATATTATGTATGTTGTATGTATACCATGTATGCACTCTATATATACACATTACTTCTCTAGTCAGTAGTGTGTGGCAATGCCCCTGTTTCATGTCACCACACGCTTAGATAAATGTGCCTGGTGACATCTGGAAGCTGCTAATGTACCACTTACCACATGTCACTTGAGAGGTCAGAGAGAGGTCAGTTGACCCCTATAGGAGTGTAAGGACTACCTGCGCTTGTGAGCGCACTCCTGTATATTTCCGTTAATAAGAACTTACAGAACTCTACAGGTGTTTATGTTCGCTCCTGTAGTTAGAACCAAGTACCCCGAACATCTCCATTCTCCTTGCAGGTTTTTGTAATAACAGTGATGAGAGTATCCCACTCTGTACTGGGATTCGAGTTGTTTGCTGTTGGAATGCTTATAAGCCCATGTTAGAGCAGCTCTCTGAAAGCATGTGCAACTGCTGGGTCCTCCAAACGCTTAGTAGTAAAACCTCTTCTGGAGACATGCTGCCTTCGCCGTTTTGGGGGCGATGTTAAGTGAGAGCTTGGCTCTGACAAGTCGATGTTCACTGTCACAGTGGTCTGAGCTCCGTATGGCTCGGGTGCTGAGGACATCTCGGCGATCTCTTTCTCTGACAATGATGTAGTCAATGAGGTGCCAGTGTTTGGGTGAAGAGTGTTGCTACGAACCCTTGAACTGTCAGCCTGTCGAAACAAGGTCAGCCTGCCGAAACACTTGCTAAGGAGGAGTAGGCCGTTGAGATTACACTTCCCTAGTCCATTTTCCCTATGGTTCCCTGCCAAATATCGGCATCTCTGCCAATTCTGGCTTTGAAGTCACCAAGGAGCACAACCTTGTCTTCTCTGGGGATAACGGTTAGCACTCTGTGAAGGTCGGCGTAAAAGGCTTCCTTGATGTCTTCCTCTGCATCCAGTGTTGGGGCATATGCTTTGATGAAAATGGCATGACGTGAGTGATTTAGTGGGACTCGAAGCGTCATGAGACGCTCGTTGATCCCAATAGGCATTTTAGTTAGCCTGTTTAGGATGCATTGGCGGATGGCAAAGCCAACTTCATAAATGCGGTTTCTCTCCGCAGCAGGCTTAACCTTCCACAAGAAGGTATAGCCAGACCAACGTTCTGTGAGCTAGCCCTCATCTGGGAGCCGGTACTCACTGATGGTTGCTAGGTCGATGCTATACCTAGCCAGCTGCTTTGCCACAAGGGCAGTTCTTCTTTCAGGATGCTAAATTGTACCAGTATGCAGAAGGGTCCTGAAATTCCATGCAGCGACCATAGGAGGTTGTATGGATTGTTTTTGTTTGGATCTGTGATTTTGACCGTGTTTTCGACTGCATAAGGATGACCTTTTCTAGCCCCCTCCCCATGTGGGGTGAGCAGAGTGGCTCCTCGAAAGTGCTGCTCAGGCGTACAGACAGGACCGGATTGCACTGCTGCCTAGATCCCAGTGCATAAACGACCATCTTATGTGTGCCGCCCTTGTGCAGAGTTGTGGCTAGAGATTCCCGGCAGTCATCTCTGCCTGTCCCCGTTACCACTCGTCTGTCGCCATAGGACTTTTTGAGGGTATTGGGGTTTTGATTATGATGAGGAGTATGATGAACTGGATGATGGCTGCACGTGAGTTGATTTATGTGGTGGGGTAGGAGCGCAGGCTGCAACCACACATCATGGCTCTTCCTTTACCTGATCCAGTGGTGCAAGTGTTGCAACGAATGGGGAGAGGGAGAGTTGCAATGGACTGCCAATAGCCCAGTTTGTTGGGTTTCGCCTTAGTAGCCTATCCGTCAGGCATTGCCTTCACCCGCCGGTGTAGTCGTTGGGTTTCCACTGTAGTCACCTCTTCCACCTACACCGCCGTTGGGGGCTTGTTGGAGCTCTGTAAGCATGTCTGCCTGATGCTGGGCTCCACCGCAGATTTTTCGTTCGAAGTTTACTCCCGTAGCCATATACCTACTAACGTTAATCTGCAAGGCAGCGGGGCAATGGCTGGTAGGCGCCAGAACGTATCCACATGCCAGTGGGGCTATGCGCCATCCCTCTGGGGCCCACTGATACTCCGAAATCCCCTGCTGGTCTAGACTGGGCCCACGAGGCACCCAGTTACCGTGTGTTGCCACGAGGAGGCACAGCAGGATTCTTGAAGGTGAAGAGTCTGTGTACTGGCAGGGGAAGACTTATGCAAGTTGCTTCTCTGTTCTCCACGAGGGCTAGCCAGCGGCGGTAGCTAAAAGCGAGAGGGAGCAAGCAGTACTTGCACCTTAACACTAACATAGAGCTGCCACACTAGACGCATTTCACCATCCTTTGTGCGACACACACACACACACACACACACACACACACACACTACATGCATAATGGTTGCCCCTCGTGTACGAGGATGGCCGGCCTAGGCGTGAATTTGTTTAAGGTGTAGAAGCTGTCGCCAACATAACAATCACACCCTAAGAACATAAGAATGGAGGAAACTGCAGCGGGCCTATTGTCCCATACTGGACAATCACATTTACACCCAACCCCTATTGCTCATATATCCAACCAACCTATGTTTGAAGCTATCCAGCGTATTCGAGTTAATGATGATGTTTGGTAACTTGTTCCCATCGTCCACTACTCAATTTAAAACCAATGTTTTCCTATTTCGCGCCTAAATCTAAATTTGTCTAATTTAAAACCATTGTTTCGAGTTTGCTCGTTTTTGGCTAGTTTGAGTGCCTTTGTAATTTCACCTTTGTTTAGCCCTGATTTCCATTTATACACCTCTATCAGGTCGCCCCTCACTCTACGTCTCTCGAGGGAGTGCAAATTAAGATGCTTTAACCTGTCTCTGTACTCAAGGTTCCTAATGCACGGGATTAGTCTTGTCATTCTCCTCTGAATTCCTTCTAGGGATTCTATATCCATTCTGTAAGACGGTGGCCAGAATAATTGAACTGGGTAATCCAAGTGAGGTCTCACAAGAGCAGGATATAGTTTTAGGATGACCTCGCTAGTCTTGTAACTAACACGCTTCTGTATGAACCCAAGTTCTTTGTTAGCATTTTTTCCGAGTAAATACACATTGTTTACTTGGTTTAAGATTCCTGCTTATCATTACTCCTAAATCTTTCTCACAGTCTGATTTCTTTATAACATTGTTGTTCATCTGGTATCTGGTTTCTCTGTTTACCTCTTCTAGACTAAGTACTTTACATAAGTCCACATTGAATTTCATCTGCCAATCTGACCATTCGAAAAATTTGTTTAGGTCTTCCTGTAGTTTTACGGAGTCCTCCTCAGATTTAATTACTCGCCCTATTTTAGTGTCATCAGCAAATTTACTTATGTTGCTGTCTATGCCGATATCTATATCGTTTATGTATCTATAATAAATAATAATCGTCCAAGTACTGAGCCTTGGGTGTACTCCACTAACGACGTTTCTCCAATTGGAGTTACTGCCGTTAATGCTCACTCTCTGTTTCCTGTCCTGTAACCACGCCCTAATCCATTTTAGAATATCTCCTTTAATGAAATAAGCCTCCCCTTTTCTTATAAGTTTTTCGAGAGTTGCATTACCCAGTGTCAAGGAATAGTCCAAGAAGACCGGACAACTAGCCAACTGCACTGGCTAACCATTACCCCGGAATATGATTGGCAGATCAATTGACATCTAGGTTCCTAATTACTGCTAGCTAGACAGAGGCAAATAGCGTAAAAGAAAAAAACTTGCCAATAGTTTCTCCCTGTCCGAGGATGTAACTCGGGATCACTCACTAGCGAAGTGAGCATTACACCACACACACACACACACACACACCTATCGGGCGTCTTCTCCTGCTGCGGCAGCTTCCCCGGCCTATTCCTCAAGTCCCTCTCCTCGACCTATCCTCACCACCGGGATATCAACATAATTCCACCAAAAGAAGTACGATCAGTGTTGAACAGTGATGAACAGTGTTTAAGCCAGTGAATTCAGCATTAGACAGTACCAGCGAGAGCCGTGAACCAGTGAGGTCCAGAGATAAGCACTCCTGGGAACCAGCCACCATCTTCTAACCTGGCGGTGTTAATCAGTCCTCCTTAGGATCAACCGTGTGTTGGCTTTACAATGATTATGAGATAACACCATATAGCTGAGAGTGAGGTACTGTGTGGTGTTGTGTGGTGTGGTGTTGTGTGGTGTGGGGTGCCACACCACACCGAATCCAGGAAAAAAGTCACAAGAAAAAATTACAGCTAAAATGCACGGAAAAACCTAACCAAACCTAACCTAACCAAACCTAACCTAACCTAACCTAACCTAACCTAACCTAACCTAAGCTAACCTAACCCAACCCAAGCTAACCTAACCTAACTTAACCTAACCTACGTGCAATGCCATCATATATATATTGTGTTGTCAATGAGTAAAAGTCATGTGACTTTTTTCCTGTGACTTTATTTCCGTTGACCATCACACCGTGTTTCCATGATCAAGTGAGGTCCTTTATATCAACACCTATGAACGTGTCACTACACCACGTGAACATCACACCACCCCGTGTCTCCATTACCATGTGAAGTCCTTCATGTCAACATCTACGGATGAGTTACTATACCACGTGAACACCACACCACCCCGTGCCTCCTTTACCACACACACACACACACACACACACACACACACACACACACACATTACTCACTTAAAGAGAGTCTCCCGTGTTCGCCAGTCCAGGTTCCTTCGAGCTGTCTTGACACAGAAGACCAGGAGGAGTGCCAATAGCAGTGCCCGCACCACACGCCCAGGCACCATCCTCGCCAGCCTCACCACGCCCACACCAACCACCGTGCACCAACCCAAGCTGAAGGTGACGGACGGCGGCAAGTGAAAGGTATGTGACGGTTTCTTGCATTGGCCGTCATGAGGCACTGCATTACGCAACATGACGCCAGTATGTAGTGTATGCGGCGTTATGAGGCACTACATAATACTGTATGACTCAACATGACGTCAGTATGTAGTGTATGGGGCGTCACAAGGAATTACATGATACTGTATGAAACAACTGAGGCACTACATAATACTGTATGACGCAACATGACGTCCAGTATGTGGTGTGTGAGACGTTATGAGGCACTACATGATACTGTATTACGCAACATGACGTTAGTATGTAGTGTATGGAGCGTCATGAGGAATTACATGATACTTTATGAAGCAACATGATGCCAGTATGTAATGTATGGGGCGTCATGTGGCACAACATGACAATAGTTAGTGAAGGGTTATGTGATATGTGATCTACCGGGCAACATATGACAATACTTGATAAATACATGACACAGTATGACACTGCTACAGTATTTGACACTAGAATACTGTATGAGGCTACCTGACACAGGATGACACTAAGGGTCGCATTCAAGAACATAGAGCGTAGGGTATCCCTATAGGCAATGCCTTCGTTTGGTATTCAAGACGGGTATTGAAAGCCCATGGCGTGGTCAATGCATTGCCTACGGATAAGGGGAAAGACGTTCATAATTTATTATTTTTTTTAACGTGGATTAACCCACTCGGGCACAGGTCACTGACCCACATCGGAGCTGAGGGAAGGGGTGGCGATGTAATAATAATAATAATAATAATAATAATAATAATAATAATAATAATAATAATAATAATAATAATAATAATTAAATTCATAGTAAATAAAATTTATATTAAAATATATAACATTGAAAATACAATAATAAAATAATAATGATAATAATAATATTAACAACACTGCAATAATAATAATAATAACATAGAACCATAAAAAATATAAAAATTAAAAAAAAGATCAAGAGTGAGAAAAAATATATGTATGTTGTGTTGTCAATAGAAGAGAAACAATTTAGACGCTGCAATTGTGTGTAAATGAGGCAGAAAGTCAGATCAGCAACCTGGGACTTGGTCACATATGGCAGCAGGGTCTACCGTTAGACAACACCTTATGCTTCCAATATCTTCTCAGGCAGTAGTACCTCCCTGTTTGGTAGCTGCCTACTAACTTCTATATGTAATACATGTTTGAATATAATCGAAAAATAAAAAAGTAAAAATGAGAGAAATTTGGCTATTTTTAGTGTTTTAAAATCATATTATTTATCGAAGCGATTTCGTTTATACTCACTTACCAGAATATTCAGATAATCGTTTGCGGCCTGAATAGCGATTTCTGTATCTTTAAGGTGCAATTTACGAGTAATATGCTAGATCTATATTTGGGGAAACAATATAAATGTCCATGGCCATGAATTACTCGAGATGAATCAGTATTACTCTCGTACACCAGGCTGAGGCTGAGGCTGAGGCTGAGGCTGAGGCTGAGGCTGAGGCTGAGGCTGAGGCTGAGGCTGTAATTTCCAACATTCGAAAATCATGAACCAGAATTTATCTTATTCACCAGGATGGTCTACAACAGTTAAATTAATTTGAAGTGGCTACTACATCTTGAGATAGCTTGCCTTGCAACTCTCTCAAAGGTCAAGCGTGGGTCAGCTGATTTAGCAAACAACCGGCTCGCTCTCTCACGTCCTGACAAAACACATGACCCTCCAGTCTTTTACGCCCTTAATGCATGAGTCATAAAGGCAAGCATGAACTACGCATGCTTCCCAGATGGGCGCTGTAAACGCTTCTGCGCTTCACCTTGCACAGGCTGTAAGGGGGTGCCCAGTAAACTAGCTCCCTCGGGGGCAATCTAAAAAAGAAAAAATCTCTCTCACGCCCAGAGAAGGCAGTTCACTACTACCACTGGGCAGGGAAGCCAGACATTTAACTCAAGTGTTATCTCAAAGTGATATTCACAACACTTCCCTGGAGAGACTCACAATATATTCTCTCATATTGTACCTGTCAATATACCTGTTGTACATGACTATATACCTGTTGTACCTGTCTATATACCTGTTGTACCTGTCTATATACCTGTTGTACCTGTCTATATACCTGTTGTACCTGTCTATATACCTGTTGTACCTGTCTATATACCTGTTGTACCTGTCTATATACCTATTGTACCTGTCTATATACCTGTTGCACCTGTCTATATACCTGTTGTACCTGTCTATATACCTGTTGTACCTGTCTATATACCTGTTGTACCTGTCTATATACCTGTTGTACCTGTCTATATACCTGTTGTACCTGTCTATATACATGTTGTACCTGTCTATATACCTGTTGCACCTGTCTATATACCTGTTGTACCTGTCTATATACCTGTTGTACCTGTCTATATACCTGTTGTACCTGTCTATATACCTGTTGCACCTGTCTATATACCTGTTGTACCTGTCTATATACCTGTTGTACCTGTCTATATACCTGTTGCACCTGTCTATATACCTGTTGTACCTGTCTATATACCTGTTGTACCTGTCTATATACCTGTTGTACCTGTCTATATACCTGTTGTACCTGTCTATATACTGTTGTACCTGTCTATATACCTGTTGTACCTGTCTATATATACCTGTCTATATATACCTGTTGTACCTGTCTACCTATGCCTGTCTATACCTGTTGCACCTGTCTATACCTACCTGTCTATATACCTGTTGTACCTGTCTATATACCTGTTGTACCTGTCTATATACCTGTTGTACCTGTCTATATACCTGTTGTACCTGTCTATATACCTGTTGTACCTGTCTATATACCTGTTGTACCTGTCTATATACCTATTGTACCTGTCTATATACCTGTTGCACCTGTCTATATACCTGTTGTACCTGTCTATATACCTGTTGTACCTGTCTATATACCTGTTGTACCTGTCTATATACCTGTTGTACCTGTCTATATACCTGTTGTACCTGTCTATATACATGTTGTACCTGTCTATATACCTGTTGCACCTGTCTATATACCTGTTGTACCTGTCTATATACCTGTTGTACCTGTCTATATACCTGTTGTACCTGTCTATATACCTGTTGTACCTGTCTATATACCTGTCTATATATATACCTGTTGTACCTGTCTATATACCTGTTGTTATATACCTACCTGTCTATATACCTGTTGTACCTGTCTATATACCTGTTGTACCTGTTGTCTATATACCTGTTGTACCTGTCTATACCTGTTGTACCTGTCTATACCTGTTACCTGTCTATATACCTGTTGTACCTGTCTATATACCTGTTGTACCTGTCTATATATACCTGTCTATATACCTGTTGTACCTGTCTATATACCTGTTGTACCTGTCTATATACCTGTTGTACCTGTCTATATACCTGTTGTACCTGTCTATATACCTGTTGTACCTGTCTATATACCTGTTGTACCTGTCTATATACCTGCTTCGATAATAAACAGAATAACACCAAGAAGTGTTTACATCAAACCCTGCCACTAAAGAGTTCCAGAACTTAATTAAAACAATTAGTGTGATACCAAAACACCTACCACAAGGTTAGGTTAGGTTAGGTTAGGTTAGGTTAGGTTAGAAGAAATATTTATCCCATATATTAGAGTCGTTTGGTTTGGTTCCTGATGTTCTTTTTTATGTTTTATTCCTGCACAATATTTGGTATGTTCTTGAGAGAGGAAAGAGTATTTTCTACTGAAAAATTTTATAATGGTTATGTTCGTTAACCTTTTGTAAAAATTTACCGGGAAACTTTTTAAAGTTTTCGGTAATCATTTGGTTAGCATGACAGTAATTTCTTATGTAGAGTTTAATTTTAAATCCTATTTTCCCTAATGACATTTCTTGGGCAAATTTATATTAACGGAGATATAAACATACCAAGAGTAAAAAAGATTGTCCCTTTTTCACATGTTGGTAGCCCTGGAATATGCTCTATACCGAAGGTGTAAGCATTCCCTATGGTAGTGATTCCCGACAGGGATACCCTATGCTTTATGTTCTTGAATACGGCCGAATATGACAATAATTAACGAAGGATTCCGTTAGATGGAAGACACCTTATACTGTATACACTCTCCCTCTATCTCTCTATCTATCTATCTATCTATCTATCTATCTATCTATCTATCTATCTTTGAATATCTCTTTAGAGTTTTATTTATCATTCTCTCTCAGCCTATATCGAACCCGTGACTTTAAGACCCACCTGGGTATGTACAGGAGCCGTTCAGCCACCACGAAGCCGACACTGAAGAAGGCGTTGGAGGCGGGGAGGAAGGAGAGACACAACACTAACAGCGACCATGTGACGGCCTGTCTATCCCTCCTCTGTTGGCACACGACAGGATAGATCATGACAGCACATGAGATGGATAGGAAATGAGATGGTTACTTCAGGATATGCTAAGGTAGTTTATGGGGTGAATAGTAGTACACGAGATGACTAGGTGAGGATAGTACAGTGTTTGAACAGTTCTTGGTCTGGTTCTAGGTTCGTCTCTGGTTCTGGGTCCGGTTCTATGTTTGAGCTCGGTTTTGAATTCGAATTTGGGTTCAACACTATATATATAAATAGAGAGTAAAGACTTATATTCAACAATTAACAGCCAGTATTCGAACCCACAATACTACTTACATTAAAATTGAAAAGTGACAGCAGTAACAGCAGCAGTAGACAGCCGTAGAGAGCTATCGAACCCATGTTTCGTAGGTCTGATAGCGTAGACAGTAGAGGTATTGAATCCATCTGCCAGTCGTAGGCGAGTGAGGCAGGACACAAAAGCAGCCAGGCATTGTGTGCCGGAAGGTACATGTATGTGAGGAACCTGTGTGGAAGAAGAGTTGAGAGAGAGAGAGAGAGAGAGAGAGAGAGAGAGAGAGAGAGAGGGAGAGAGAGAGCATGGAAAACTAAGAAATCTTTCTACCATCATCAGGCCACTACAGTCAACACTTAACATATTCACCAGAAACAAACACCACCAAGAAATTTCCTTCCCCTTGACGGAGTTTAACATAAGTGGTCTGGCCTCACCTCGCTTGTAGGTGACATGGGCCTCTGTCTTGATAGGCCCAAGGTGTAATAGACTTCAGTTTTAATGGATTCTAACAGTAATGGTCCTCTGCTAAATTTGGATACAATTTATATGAGCCCAATACTACGCTAATGGGCACTTCATCAATTAGTATACAGATCTAATGGGCCCAAGACTGCTCTAATATTATTAGATTATATTCGATTGGACCCAATTCTATAAGTTTACCATTCTAATAGGTCTACTTCCTATAGGTCCCCAATAATGGGTCCCTTTTCTATTAAAGTACAGTTTTAATGGGCCCGGTACTAATGATATTCTTCTCTCCAAATCGGATCCTAAACTATTTTTATTCAGGTAAAATATGCTAATGGGGCGTATTAACTCTGAAGCCTATTAGCATTTGAGCCTACTAGCACTGGCACCTATTAGCACTGGGGTCTATTAGCATGGGGTCCTATTAGCACTGAGACCTATTAGCACATGGGCCTATTGACACTGAGGCCTATTAGCACTGGGACTTATTAGCATGGGGGCATATTAGCACTGGGACCTATTAGCACGAGGCCAATTAGCACTGGGACCTATTAGCACTGGGGTCTATTAGCACTGGGACCTATTAGCACTAGGGTCTATTAGCACTGGGACCTATTAGCACTGGGGTCAATTAGCACTGGGACCTATTAGCACTGGGGTCTATTAGCACTGAGACCTATTAGCATGGGGTCTTATTAGCACAGAGACCTATTAGCACTGGGGTCTACTAGCACTGAGACCTATTAGCACTGGGGTCTATTGGCACTGGGGTCTATTAGCACTGGGGTCTATTAGCAATGGGGTCTATTATCACTGAGACCTACTAGCACTACGGTCTATTAGCACTGAAACCTATTAGCACTGGGGTCTATTAGCACTGTGTCCTATTAGCAACAGGGGTCTATTAGCACCGGGGTCTATTAGCACTGAGACCTATTTGCACTAGGGTCTCTGCACCGGGGTCCAGCACCAGGGTCTATTAGCAACAGGTCTATTAGCAATGGGGTCTATTAGCACTGAGACCTACTAGCACTACGGTCTATTAGCACTGAAACCTATTAGCACTGGGTTCTATTAGCAATGGGGTCTATTAGCAACAGGGTCTATTAGCACCGGGGTCTATTAGCAACAGGGTCTATTAGCAATGGGGTCTATTAGCACTGAGACCAACTAGCACTACGGTCTATTAGCAAACCTATTAGCACTGGGGTCTATTAGCAATGGGGTCTATTAGCACTGAGACCTATTAGCACTGGGGTCCTATGCACTGAGACCTACTAGCACTACGGTCTATGCACTGAAACCTATTAGCATGGGGTCCTATTAGCACTAAGACCTATTGGGGTCTATTAGCACTGAAACCTATTAGCACTGGGTCCTATTAGCAATGGGGTCTATTAGCACAGAGACCTATTAGCACTGGGGTCTATTAGCACTGGGGTCTATTAGCAATGGGGTCTATTAGCACTGAGACCTACTAGCACTACGGTCTATTAGCACTGAAACCTATTAGCACTGGGGTCTATTAGCACTGTGTCCTATTAGCAACAGGGTCTATTAGCACCGGGGTCTATTAGCACTGAGACCTATTTGCACTAGGGTCTATGCCCGGTCTATTAGCACCGGGGTCTATTAGCACACAGGGTCTAATAGCAATGGGGTCTATTAGCACTGAGACCTACTAGCACTACGGTCTATTAGCACTGAAACCTATTAGCACTGGGGTCTATAGCAATGGGGTCTATTAGCAACAGGGGTCTATTAGCACCGGGGTCTATTAGCAACAGGGGTCTATTAGCAATGGGGTCTATTAGCACTGAGACCAACTAGCACTACGGTCTATTAGCACTGAAACCTATTAGCACTGGGGTCTATTAGCAATGGGGTCTATTAGCACTGAAACCTATTAGCACTGGGGTCTTTAGCACTGTGTCCTATTAGCACCGGGGTCTATTAACAACGGGGTCTATTAGCACGGGGTCCTATTAGCACTGGGGTCTATTAGCAACGGGGTCTATTAGCACTGGGGTCTATTAGCACCGGGGTCTATTAGCACCGGGGTCTATTAGCACTGGAGTAATAATAGCTTTATTTTTACCTTTCTTAATTCTATTTATTTACTTCTACTTTTTTATTTATTTTCTTATTCCCTTTTCTTATTCTTAATCTTATTTTTTTTTGTTCTTTGCACTTGTGAGAGAGAAGGGAGGTAGCTGGTTTGTGGTCGTGGGAGGTGGGGGTTTGCCCATAGTCACTCCTCCCCACCAGAGGGTAACTGATATGGGGGAGGAGGGAGTGAGGGAGAGAGGGTGAGAGGAGAATAACTGGGGGACAGGGATAACACGTAGTAACTGAGACACTACGTGAAACAGGTAATAGATGTGTTATCACTCAGGACTCAATGTATCACTGTATAACACCAGAGACACATATGTATCACTGTATAACACCAGAGACACATATGACAATGTTTTACTCAACAGCAAGAGGGGATGGGAAGGGATATAACACTTCTTAATAGTTCTTTGTTTATTGCACATCTTCTCTTGAGAATGACAATTATACTTCAAAAAAATTAACCTATTTCCTAGCTAGTTTAAAAGGGGTCACATGAATCACAATACATTTCGTAAAATGAATAAAACCTTAAGTGTACTCGCTGAGATATATATGCTGTCATGTTGGGGAACCGACCACACCACATCTACACATCACTACCTCAAACCAAACTCTGTGTTTGAAAACACATACGGCTTACAATGGCGCCACATCTTCATGACGTCACTTCTCAAAAACTCTCCTTATTGGTTCAGGCCTAAGGCATTCACGCTCCCCAGTCACTGCGATTGGCTCATGCTTGGTGAGAAATACTCACTAACTCATGACAATGATACACGGGGTCCTATTAGCACGGGGTCCTATTAGCACTGGGTCCTATTAGCACGTGGGCCTATTGACATTGAGGCCTATTAGCACTGGGGCCTATTTGCACTGGGTCCTATTAGCACTGGGGCCTATTGGCACTGGAGCCTATTAGCATGTGGGCCCATTAGCACTGGAGCCTATAACCACGTGGGCCTATTGACACTGGGTCCTATTAGCACTGGAGCCTATTAGCACTGGGGCCTATTAGCACTGGAGCCTATTAGCACATTGGCCTATTAGCACTGGGATCTATTAGCACATGAGTCTATTAGCACTGGGGCCTGTTAGCACTGGCGCCTATTAGCACAAGGGCCTATTACTACTGGCACCTATTACTACTGGCGCCTATTACTACTGGCACCTGTTACTACTGGCACCTATTAGCATTAAGTGCCTGTTACTTTACTGCATTCTCACATTACTGGCGCTTATTACTACTGGCACTTGTTATTAATTACTGGCACTATTACTACTGGCACCTTATTACTACTGGCACCTATTACTACTGGCACTTGTTATTATTGGCGCTTATTACTAATGACACCACCATAATTGGATTACCAATTACTACTGGCGCCAATTACTACTGGCACCTATTACTACTGGCGCCAATACTACTGGCACCTATTACTACTGGCACCTATTACTACTGGCACCTGTTATTATTGGCGCCTATTACTAATGACACCAATTACAATTGACACCAATTACTACTGGCGCCAATTACTACTGACACCTATTACTACTGGCGCCTATTACTACTGGCACCTGTTACTACTGGCACCTATTACTACTGACACCTATTACTACTGGCACTTATTAGTACTGGCACCTGTTATTATTGGCACGTTTTACTATTGGCACCTATTAGGACTAGCACTTATTACTACTGGCACCTACAGGTATTACAACTGGCGCCTATTACTACTGGCACCTATTACTATTGAAACCTATTACTACTGGCACCTATTACTATTGACACCTATTACTACTGGCACCTATTACTACTGACACCTATTACTACTGGCACTTATTAGTACTGGCACCTGTTATTATTGGCACGTATTACTATTGGCACCTATTAGGACTAGCACTTATTACTACTGGCACCATACAGGTATTACAACTGGCGCTCTACATTACTTTCGGCACCTATTACTATTGACACCTATTACTACTGGCACCTATTACTACTGGCACCTATTACTACTGGCAATCTATTACTACTGGCACCCATTACTACTGGCACCTATTACTATTAGCACCCATTACTACTGACACCTATTACTACTGGCACTTATTAGTACTGGCACCTGTTATTATTGGCACGTATTACTATTGGCACCTATTAGGACTAGCACTTATTACTACTGGCACCTACAGGTATTACAACTGGCGCCTATTACTACTGGCACCTATTACTATTGACACCTATTACTACTGGCACCTATTACTACTGACACCTATTACTACTGGCACCTATTACTACTGACACCTATTACTACTGGCACTTATTAGTACTGGCACCTGTTATTATTGGCACGTATTACTATTGGCACCTATTAGGACTAGCACTTATTACTACTGGCACCTACAGGTATTACAACTGGCGCCTATTACTACTGGCACCTATTACTATTGAAACCTATTACTACTGGCACCTATTACTATTGACACCTATTACTACTGGCACCCATTACTACTGGCACCTATTACTATTGGCACCTATTACAATTTAAATTATTACTACTGGAAACCTATTAGTGCTAAAGGTAATTAGTACTAGAATGTATTAGCACGTTAAAGAAAAACTGAAAATATTGAATTTTAAA